TTTTACTATATTAATTAAATATTTTATTTATCTTAGATTTACGTCTAAAAATGAATAGACAATAATTAATAAAATATAAAAATTTTGATGTATACACCGTATTCTTAACATTATTTTCTTATTTTATTTGGAGATATTTATTTGGAGATAAAAGCGTTTGATTTAGCGGCCCTTGGATTAAAATTAGATCAAGTAATGAAAAAGATCAAACACAAGATTTCACTTGTAAGAAAGAATTATATGAGAAAGGATTGATTGTAAGTTGTAATCCACAAAATAAGTTTGATTAAAAGAAAATCAATTCGTGAAATTTTGTTTGTGTTATACATTTGAAATTTGTTGTTACAACATTAATGTGATAGTAGAATAAAATATGGAGTTTAAATTGAGTAAATTGTAATTTTAGTCATTTATGTTTCACTATCCTAATTATTTTATCATCTTCAAATTGCGTTTTTTTCGTCCCGTATGTTGCAAAAAAATTACAAAAAATGACATTTTTTCGCAACAAAAATGTCTTTTATATTTTGCATAAAAAAATTCTAATTTCATCCCTTATATATGAAAAAGACCTTTTTATAAAAAATAAAAAAATAAAAAAAAAGGACACCCTATAAGGGAGGTTAAGACCAGACCCTGAACCTGTATATAAAAAGGCCCTAAATGCGCTGAAAAGTCATAAGTCTACAAGTCTGTTGGAATGTCACTTGTGAGTTGTCCCACATTGATTTGATAGGGTAAATAGGCCTAACTTATAAGCCTAGTGGGCTACTCCTCCTACTACCAATTGGTTTTGGGATGGAACCCCACTTGGGCTTCATTTGGGCTAACCCTCTTATAGTGCGCTTCACTTGTGTGGGACCGCACTCGATTTGCCCCGATTTGACAAAGTCCAATGTCTGATTTACATCAAGCCAAACGAAAATAAAAACGGAAACAAGAAAAGAAACAAGAGATAACTGACAACAACAGCAAGTAAAATGTCAGATCCTGGTCATGGAAGAGTCCAAGCAAAAAGTCAGCATTACGGGATAGCAGATGCACCAAAAGGTAGGACTGGCTGCACAAATCTGAATGAAATATATCTCATCTGGTCCATCCGTATAAGGGTACAGAGGCAGAGATGAATGTCATCAGGATAAAGAATGCGCTTCTGGGGGGTGGAGGACCCGATGACAGCTAGATAATCAGCAGGCCGGTTCACCTCGCGGAAGGTGTGCGAGATCCGAAAGCGAATTGCGCGAAATGTAGCTCTAATGCGCATGAGAGGATGTTTACTCTGCCACGTGCCCTGACGGCCAGAGATCAAGAGAGTGATGACAGCAGCGTCCAACTCTATACAAATGTCATAGGAGATCGAGAGAGCAATCTGAAGACCGATTTGAAGCCTGAACCTCTGCATGATAGCTCGAGGAGGCACGAAGAGCGGCATGGAACACGGTAATAAGAGCACCACTATGGTCGCTATTCAAGCCCCCACCTCCGACGGCTCAGTAAGTCGGTAAAAGGATCCATCAATGTTTAGATTAACCCAAGGAGACTCCGGCCTCAGCCAAACAACAGCTCTGAGGCGTGAATCAGGCAGCAGTGGAGATGGTGCAAGGCGATGAGCTGGCGTGCAACATGTCCAGTCTTTCGACGTGAGTCTGCCCAGAGCACGGTGAGGAGAGATAGATGTCTGTCAACGAATAATATGGGAAAACAAAAAAAAATCCCTATGTATGAAAAAGGACCTCTATATAACCTTTTTATAAACATGCGAGACGAAACTAAAAAATACAATTCAAAGAGAACAAAAAAGTTAGGATAGTGAAACACACATGACTAAAATTGCAATTTACTCGTTTAAATTCTTCGCCAAATTAAACTTTGTGTAAACCATCTAGGCGTGTCGCATTTGGGGTTCAGCTGGTATCGTATTTTTGGAACTTCTATATTATCTTTATAGTCGAGCATATAACATATTTTTTTTTTTTATAAAAATAAAAAATAATAAAGAAAGAAAGAAAGAAAGAGATACCAAGGATTTTTTTTTTTTTGTCAAACTCTAAAATCCAACAGAAGAATCTTTCTTAAATTTTGTAGGGCTCAAGAATTACACTGCAAACAAGATATGGTGACATCTGAAAGAAACACAAACACATGGATATGAACTGTAGTGTTGCAATTGATGAGCCCATCTTACCATAGTTTAATAAGAGCAGTGTTCATTTCATATAATATATTTTTTTTTATTTGTTTATGCATTATAAGGAAGACAAATTGAACTAGGATTAATCAAGAAAGTTTGACCGGGATTTCACCAATTTATGCTTCTTAAGTTGGTTGGTGCTCTCTCTCACACACTATTGTCAAAGAATAATACTTTATTCTAAAGTATATTATACATTGTTTATTTAGCTCGTAAGTTTCTAGTATATGTTATTTTAAAACTTATGACTGATAACTGAAAATCTGATTGATATGATAAAAGTGTTCGATAAAATTAACTGGTAAGCCAACTCAAACAGCTTCTTTTATATCAACTTTTATAAAAAAAACTACATAAACAAGCTTATGAT